CTGTCAGAGACACCATCACTGAATTTTGTGTGATGAGATGTTTTTCATCATTTTTTTTTCCTTTTCTTGAATCAGACTTGTGATTTGGGGAAAGCATCTTCCGGGCTCCTCCACAGACCTTGACTATTGTAAGCAGACTTTGTTTCTCTCTATACTTCCACTCCAGAGGCGAATAAGTGGGGTGAACCCACACACACCCAATAAACATTTTCTCTCATTTCTTTGTTTACTTTCATCCAGTGTGCTTTTGGATAAGCAGGAATACCTAAGTGAAATTTGGAGCTCTCTAGCCATAGAATGTGAATGAGATGTAGAGCAAACCATTTATCACATTTTTTAAAGTTTGTTTTCTATCTTAAATACATGTTTTCAGTCTGCCTCTCAGGCTCTGCTAAGTAGTGTAGCTTATTGAAATAAGTGTCTCGTTGAATAAGGGACAATAACCACAAAACTGATTTCTGGAGCTGTTGGTCTTTGGGATTGTCCCGCTAATGATTTTCTCTTCTTTTCTCTTCTAACCTAATGAGAATATTCCAAGTTGAATTACTTGGTTCTCATAGTCCTAGAACCAGAAATGCATTCTATACTTTCTTTTAGCATTATCCTACTCCATCATTCATTAGGACAAAAGTCAAAATGAAAAAAATGTATCTCTCAACCACCTCCTTCATGCAGTCAGCATTACAGTTTGTAAGGGAGGGAGGTGCCATCAGAACTTCCAGTCTTTAGCACTAGACTGTCCTGATTCCTCCAGACTCCTTTAAATGTCTCGCTCAGATTGAATTTAGGGAGTTGTAAATTTCAGCTGCTGACTAGCAGTATCCTGAGTCCAGACAGTAACAGTATCTAATCTTTAGATCTTTTTTGTTCCCTATTTGGCTTCCTACGTAAATCGATATATTCTGTCTATATTAAGGGTTCTGGATGTAGTTTTGTCTGTATCTAACCCACCGATACCATGCTAGTCATTAGTCTTAACACAACTGTCTTTCCAACCAATTCTCTAAAACATTTTTCAATTCAGAAGTGAGTGCAAAGAGAAGTTTATTAAGAAAAATCCCATTTATAAGGGCAATTTGATGTTAAAAGTATCCTGATACAAAGTCCAGTATTTGGGCCTATAAAGAGGACAGGCACCAAACTTTGCTAATATCAAGCATTTATTATGCTGATACTTTTAATGGATCTTGGCTCTTGGCCACTACAAAGGCTGTCAAAGGGCTAATACAGATGACTCAGACCTGATACCACTTTTTCCTGATCAGAAGTAATTAAGTGAATGATTTTAACTTTCATCTCCTCCCCTAAACCTGTCTATCCCCACAAAACTCCCCAACACAATTGACTTTTTTTGTTTGTTTTTCACTTCACATATTGCTTAGGTGACTAGAGATACAACTTAAAGTGAAACAAACTTTTATTGCGAAGCTGAGTAGAGCTTCAGTCTGGCTCTCTAAAAGCACAATAACCAGTCCATGTGTTATCTCTACCTTGCCTTAGTTTTTCTTTCCATTTGAACAATTCGGCATGAATTGAAATCAGGTTTTCCTGTGGAAAGTTTCAGCTTGATAGGGGTGGGTAGAAGCTGAGTTCTGTCTAGCAACTCCTGGTCAGTGTTTATTTTTATATTGTATCTTAATAAGATGAGGATGCCTTCAGTTTGAGTCTGCATAATGTTCACTGCAAAACGTCTTTTCATTTAATGCATATGGCCTTCACATTTCTGTATAATAAAGATTATTGGCTCTTTGGTCTCTCTGTACGGTTTTACAACTTCAGTCATTTTTACTGGAAATAAGAACTTTCCACACATGGCTAGTAACACTCCCCATTTACACTAGGATACCAGCCTCTGCTTCATCCTGTGTGGAAAATTAGGGATACACAAATACTATAGTATTATACATATTACATGTATATATGTATAAACCCACAAATACTATAGTATTATATATATAGTAACATATATATTCTAGAAAGCAGGTTACATTAAGGCTAACTGGAAGACCAGCTAATGTCTGAATAATGTCTCCATTTCAATCAAAATAAGTTGCCCAATTATACTATTATTACCATGGAGAGAATAAATATATTCTGTCCTATCAATAACTATTTGCAAATGACACCTGAACTTCAGAGCTGAAAGTCTTAATTTCCAAATGTAGGCAACACACCTAACTATAACAGAGTTAACAACATGTGAAAAGAAAAATAACTGCTTATAATTGGCTTATTGTTTTTCACTTCTTTCCAATGTCTACAGCATAAGGGAAAATAAATGTTATTTACTAGAATTGTTTATACTTCCTGGTTATTTTTATTTCAGACAAAACATTGTTCTCATAAGTCATCCTGTATATAGTGTTCCTTCTTTACCAGTCCTTTGTCCCATCAGACTGTCTGTTTTCTCCATCCCAAGGCAGCCAGGAGTTAAGGCCCAAAGTCACAAGCCATGTTGATTGGGATTACTGTACATTCATTCTTATCTAATCTCAGGCAGATCTTTCTTGCTGTTTTGAATACTTGCTATTTTCTATAGCACTGTTTCTACCACCATTTTTCTTAGATCCTCTATCCCACTCCATCATCCTTTTGATTCTCAAAAGATCAAGCCCAGAAAAGCAAAGGCATTCAATGTGACTTCCCTAAATGTTTAGCCACTTCAAAATCTCTGTACATTTCCCCTCCCACTCTTCCTTTACAGTTGCCAACACCAACCTGTCTGCCTCTCTCCCTCCATCTAATGATCTCCTCTTTAAAGTAGATAATTATATTTCTAGCTTTCCTCTCTCAATTATCCCCTTCCTCTTTTCTGAAAACATGTTGCCAACTCTCCAAAAAAGAAAGTCCTCTGCTGCTTCCTCTTCAGTCAGTGCCCTCATGCCTTTCTTTGCTTTATCATTAAATATTACTACGACCTCTGCACTCTTGAACCACTTGTGAATAGCTTTTGTCCCTTCCAACTTTAACTTCTCTGTGACTTCTTTTTTGGTTCTTCTCCTCGCCACTCCAATCATTTGTCTCTGTGTCCCTTGCCAACTTTTCCCCAGGTTTCTGTCTTGGGACCTCTTTTTTTCTACTTTCTCCTTTGATGATCCCATCTACTTCCATAGCCTTACTTTTATTTATGAGAAGTCCAAATTTTATTCATATTTAGCTTCCACTTGTATCCCAAACTCCAGATCTACATTTCCCAGAACCCTACAATTTCAGATATGGAGCTCTCACGGGTCATTCCCTGGATATCTCCACCAAATGGCTCACTGGCTTTTAAAGTGTTTTCAGAATTGAACACCTCATTTTCTGTGTGCTTCCAATTCCTTTTCCAAATCAATTCCTTTTCTTGAATTTATTGTTTCTACAACAGTCACCTTGAGGCACATGGCCTCCTCATTCCCTATATTCAATCAGCTGCTAATCCAGTAGATTCCACTGCCACAGACTCTCAAATAGGCTGTTTTCAAAAGTACCACATTTCTAGCTTAAATCCTAATTATCTCCCATCTGGAGTACTGCAGTGGACTCTTGCCTAGAGTCCACCTCTAGTAACTTTCTGCTTGGAATTCTGAATGATTTTTATTCATTACCACCAGATTAATCTTCCTAATGTACGGTTCTCATCTGCCACTCGCTGGCCTAAAACTCTTCATTGTCTCTCCTGGATTACTAAATTATTCACTAGTTCCTTATCCTGGCATTCAGAGCCCTCCATGTTCTGGACTCAATTCTATTTTTCTAGCCTTCAGCCTGACTCCATCACCTGGAATACCCTTCCTTCCTTCATCTTCACCTGGCTAACTCCTAAATTCCTTAAAGTTTATTTCAAATAACCACCTTCCATCACAAAGCCTTTTTCATGGGCTTGGGGACAAGGGGGACCCTAAACTGTGTATGAGCCTTCCTTTGAACTCCTATAGCACTTTATTAACACTTTCATTTCAATGCTTACCAGAGTTTGCCTTGTATAACAATAACCTTAGGGTATTCTATGCTTCTTAAACTTTTCCATTAGATGTGCAGCCAATTACACAGAAAAATGAACAGATAACCCCAAGGCTATCTGTCACACACACACACACAAACTGCCTGGAAATATTTGATAAGAATTTTTCAGTGTTATTAGTATTAGGCTGTTTTTAATATTAAAATGCCGTGCTTTTTGCCTAACACTCCAGATGTGTCTATTTAATCTTGAGGATTTAGAGTACACACTGTGAAAACCCTATCCAAACGCCCACTAAACTAAGCTTTCTATGGCAGAATCTGCTATACTACATATAAGTAAAACTAACAGAGCACCCATATTACCCTGTGAAACTAATAAAGGACCATCTACAAACAGATGCTCAAAATAAATTGTTGAGCTATGACTCAAGATAGGTTAGCAAGCGTTAATCGGATTTACTAAATATTTACCATGTACCTAGACCTGTGCTGTTTCAAGGAGCTTAGTCTCCATGGGATGACCCTGAACAAGTAAAATACTGTACCTAAGAATTAAATCATGGGATGTAAAACCATCTGTGTTCTGCACAACTCAGTCTCTCCATTCCACACACCAAAGGACACACTGGAACAGCGTTGAGTACCACTTTAAAGCCCACTCTGACCTCCCATTATTTTCTGGAGACTGAAATTTTTCTGCTAACACTCCGCAAAGCTTAATTTTCCCCATCCGAAAATAAAAGGTTTACATCCTTCTGCTCTCCAGTTTGAAGCTCAGCAAAGCCTCCTGGGCGCGGGGCGGTGGAGCTGAAGGTTGCCTGACCCCACCACCAAAGGTGCAAAAACCCCACAGCTAGCAGTGCCGCCCCCATCATTCCCCACGGACTTCCAACTGGTCCTTGTGGCTCACTCTCTTTCCAGATTGGCGTTCCCGCTTGCCCGTCGCCTCCATAGACCCCACCTTTAGCCAGCAACGATTGGTAGATCGTTACGTCAGTGCTCCATCCACCCCACTTTCATTGGCTGCTATTGGAAGGGGCGGCCGCAACGTCACAGGCAAGGGCCGCCATTTTGACTGAGCAACCCTAGTGACAGGAGCTGAAGAAGCAGCGCAGGTTGTCCCGCGTCCCCTCCCCCTTCCCTTCTCCGGTTACTTCCCGGGCCCCCTACAGTCCGCAGTCCCGGTCCCGCCATGTCCCAGAAACAGGAAGAGGAGAACCCTGCGGAGGAGACCGGCGAGGAGAAGCAGGTGAAATGGAGGGGGTGCGGGCGGTCGACCTGGGGGCTACCGAGATGGGGCGGTCTCCCGCCAGTGCGGATTGGTCGCCATGGTCTCAGGCTCTGCAGGGGTTGGCCGCTTCTTGCGTCATGCAGGGTGAGCTTCTACGCGGCCTGCTGCTTTGGCGCTGGTTAGTTGGGTGGATTGTCAGTCAATACTGTGCCCTTCCTGATTGGCTAGTAGACCTGCTGCTCAGCGCATTGAAGCTGTGCTATAATTGGCCGAGCCTGGACGCGGGGCGGGTGTTCGGAAAGACTAGGGGGAATGAAAGGGGGCTGGCTGGTGGTCCCGGGATGAGATGTGTGTTATTGGTTAGTAGGGTTAAAATGACCCAGCAAATAGACAGGGGCCGCATTCTAAATCATCAGAAAGATATAAATCGAGGTAAAGACGTTTAAAAAGGCCTAATACTGGGGGAAGGGAGAAGAGTAATTATTATGATGGCTTGTTTAAGGCGACAACTTTCTCAAGAGACCTATTTTGACGGTTCGAGGTGGTCTGCTGTCCACCTTCAGTGAGGACCGAACAAGATTGAACTAGAGTTCCAACCAGAATAAAGAGGGTTAAACCTAGAAAAGACGCTGAGAGAGTCATGACAAGAAAAACGCCCCCGTATTCCCCCCAAACTCCCAAGGTGGGGGCGCTTAGTTCACCCACAATTCTGAGATGAATTGGGGGAGTTGTATTTGATTTATAACATTTAGTGCTGAACTCAGGGGTTCATGAAATACACTTGGTGTTATATGTGAGCCGGATTTTCAAGGGAAGGAAATATAATTCCACTGAAAATTCAGAGCCAGATACTGACTTCAAGTCTTTTTTTAAGTCACTGAAGAAAAGTGTAACGGGGCCCACAAAAAGGAAGAAGACAGTAGCAAAACAGTAAGAGCCCCTGCAAGCTAATTGAGCTCTTGGCATGTTCCCCGAACTTCCATCACTTGACCCACTAGGGAAGGTGATTTTTTGGCAAAGCTGATAGGTAAATACTAGTGGGTAAAAACTAGTGAGCCTAGTGTATCTTCATTTTTTTGAGGTTAAAAAGTCATTTTAATCTCTTGTTTACCTGTCATCTTCCTACTACAAGATTTATGGAAATGCTGAAGCAATGCTGTCCCCTTACTAAGGTGGAGATTTCTGGAGAAGGCCACATAGCTAGTCTTCTCCACCGAGAGACTTATCAGATGACTAGTTTAAGAGGGAACATCTCAGCAGAGTTCTCTCCTTTGCTTTCCCATTTGGCCTGTACTGTGTTAGGAACAGCCAGAGAACTTTCCTACTCACCTTGTGTCACCAGAAGCCCTGCTAGCTCTTCTCCTTTGTCTTTCCTAGTTCCTGTTTTGTATTATGTGTAGGCATTAAAGTATTATGTTTAGGTATTACCTTTGACTCAATACTCACAGGTCACCGGGGTGGTTCCCTGGGTGTACTGTGAGAAACAACTTACCTTTTTCTTCTCACGATACAGTCATCTAGAGCTTTAGGGATTTGAACAAAGGTCTAGCTTTATTTAAGAGCAGAGTGGAGACAGCATATTTACAAATAGGTAGATCTCCAGGAAAAGATGATAGTATAAAAGTTATCAGATATTAGAAGAGGTTGCTTCTCAGTGTTTAATTTTATTGGCCCATTTGTTTCCTCCAGGACACACAGGAGAAAGAAGGTATTCTCCCTGAGAGAGCCGAGGAGGCAAAGCTAAAGGCCAAATATCCAAGCCTAGGACAAAAGCCTGGAGGCTCCGACTTCCTCATGAAGAGACTTCAGAAAGGGGTATGGGGCACAGTCTCTTACGCTCTTACTTTAGAGCCAAAGGGGGCCTTAGGGATGAGATCTGTGGAAGTTCTACTGAACTGGAAGTTTTATTGTTGGGCAGTAGTAGACAAGAATTAGAAACTTGTAAAAAGCAAGACAAATATTGTAAATCCCTGATATGGTATCAGTTATCTTTTGATTTCCCACGTAGGAAATTAAGGCTTAATGTAGGGGCATTTGGGTATGGGGTTGGGGAAATAAGAGAAGGATGTTAGAGTCTGGATTGCTGACAGCCTCCAGACCTTTGCCTGTTTGGATGGTGGGAGTTTTAGGACTGCAAATTTAGCATTAGAGCTAAATTTGGGGCTGCATCATTTCAGGAAAAGATCAAACCATCTGTCCCACAGATTTTCTCAACTTGACATGCGTCATAGATTTCTTCAGACCCTTGTGGTCACTCCCTGAAGAGACTTACTTTTCCTGTCCAGAGTGGTCCTTCTCACCAAGGGACAGTCTTACCTTCATAGCCATCCAGCTCCTGATGAGATTTCTCAGTCTCCAGAGGCACCTAAAGCTGACTGAGGGATTGTAAATCATTAACCTGAAGTGCGTTTCTCTGTGTGGATGAAATGGAGAGGGAAACAGATTCCTGGGGAGAATCCTATTTATTGAGTCTTAGTCACAGATGATGATGTGATGCTGATTTGCAGTTTACCTTGCTGTAGGCAAGGCAGGCGTGGGCAGGCTGTCACAGCCACAGAACATGTGTGGGAGTGGTGGAAATCAGAGGAAAGTACATTATCCTCATGAACAAGCTCAGTTTCTATTCATGGTCTGAGAGAATAATTTTTAATTTTGAGGTTGTTAGCTTAAGGTTGATCTCCTGCTGTTAGCTCCAGATTGACCCTTCTATATATCTTACTCATTTCTGTTTCCCCAGCACCAAGCTGGTGCACCAAGAGGCTAATAGGCCCTCAATAAGCCTTTGTGAATAAAGTCAGTAATTTGGTTGAACCATCCTATACTCTTGGAGCTACAAAAGCATGTGGGTACAAAGGATATATACTCTAGCTGGGAAACTGCTTACCTACCTGAAAAAGTCAGAATACATTGGGGAGAAGACATACGGAAGTGTAATTAATGCTCAGCTATGTATGCGTGAGCCTAATCAAAAAAAGACCTGAAAGATCTGAGTTTGAATGAAGGTTTATAATGGATCTGAGTCTCCTTGCTTTTGAGGAAGATCAGAGCTCCTCACTTACCCAAACATCTCTCTTGTCTCTTAGCAAAAGTACTTTGACTCAGGAGACTACAACATGGCCAAAGCCAAGATGAAGAATAAGCAGCTGCCAAGTGCAGGCCCAGACAAGAACTTGGTGACTGGTGACCACATCCCCACCCCCCAGGACCTGCCCCAGAGAAAGTCCTCGCTCGTCACCAGCAAGCTTGCGGGGTAACCTGGGCCCCCCTTGTCCCCCTTCCTCACCCACTGGACGTTTATATGTCTGAGGCCGGGATAGAATGGGCACCTAGTTCTGTCTTCTCAGCTTGCTAGCCAGAAATGACCGTGCTGCTCCTGGGGCTGCTGAGAAGGCGGTGTGGGCTGAAGAGGGGTGCTGAGCCCATTATCTTTGGTTAAATTGAGACTTCCACACCCTCATGGTAACCCAGGTAGGCTCAGAAGTAGGAGACTAGGATTGGATAATGCTGCAAACTCTTTTCCTTTATACGAGAAACTGGGAAGAGAATATCCCAAAATTGGTTAGGCTAAGCCTTGGGAATAACATGGCAGGTTTCATATTCCAAGGCTAATCTGACCTGGTTGGGAAGGGTAGATTGAATGAGATCTGTTTTCTGTGCTTCTAAGTGTTTTGTCCCTTGGGCTGCTATTGCTTCATGTTTCCATTATGGCAAATTTAGAGAATCCTCACAGAGAAAAACTGATTTGCTTGCCTAAAACAACAATGCCCACTTAACCTCCTTTACTCAGTCAGTTTGCCCTGGCTCTTAATGTAAAGATTGGAGGATATTATTCATGTCAAATGGGCGCCTTCTCTCTCTCTTCCCGCATGTCGCTTCTGAAAGTGTCATGGGACAGTGGAAAGAGCACTGGGTTAGGAGTCAGGATGTCTGGGTTCGGGTTCCACTCAGCCTAGGCTGAACTGATGTGCAGCCTTGGTCAAGTCATTCAGCGTCTTTGGATTTCTATTTCCTTGTCTGTGAGGTAGAGTTGAACATAGGTAAGATGGATTCTGATTCTAAGTCCTGGAAACACTCTGTGCCATTCATTGTAAAACCAAAACTGAGGAAGGCCCATGGGTGAGCCTTCAGAGGGGAACCATTGGAGGATGACGGGGGAGAGAAACAGAGATTTGGGGGTTGTAAATTCAGGCGAGGGGGCCTCATAAGTATCATGGTCTTGAGGGTCAAGAAAGAAACTCTGCAAAGCTAGCCATGAAAACTTCTTGCCACTGCCCCATCTGCTTTCCTGGCCTGCAGTCTGGGCCTCTGCTGCTAAAAAGCTGCTCTGGCAGCCAGGCTATGGGCCTGAAGAAACATGCTGAGTCATGCACGTGTGGAGTGCCACTTTTCAGGTGTTACCAGATGCCAGGTGTATTGCTAGGGAGACAGGAAGGAAAGGGATGAACTGAGCGAGCCTCCAGGGCTTGGTGCTGCTGCGGGGCCGGAGCAGCAGGTTCTTGGGAGATGATTTGCCTCGGAGGAAGCTGGGGAGGGTGGTTAGGGAGAAAGAGGAGGAACACTGAAAGCTCGCTGCCTCCTTAGAGCTCTGTAGCCTTGCTCCTGCTCAGTGAGAAGCAGTGATGCTGATCGTGAACCAGGTGGAGGAAGGGGGCTGCAGGTGACCAGCATCCTCAATCTAGTATCTCTAGCTTGGCCTGAATCTCACTGACTGCAGCCAGGCTGGTTATGACAGGGTGGGCCAGGGTAAGAAGTAGCTGTTCACAAGAGGAGGATTCTGTAATCCTCTCTCACCCTCTCCCCTCACAAATTCTGATGTGCCACCCGTCAGGCCCAGTGAGTGACTGCTGAGCTTGCAGGTGCGCACGTCGGGGCACCGGCTTTGTCTGTGCGTCTTTCCTGACCACCGTTCACTTTGCAGGCCATCATTCAGATGGGATAGGAAAAAGGTGGTGAGGAAGGAATGGAGAGAGCAGGATCCCGTGGTCCCCTGGCCCCCAGAGTCCTTGACTGTCACCTGTAATTGTATATAACTTGTGTTTCTTGCTCCATTTTCATGCTGTCTTCCTTAGTCTACAGTCCATGTGGGAAGGGGAAAATGCCGAACATCCTTGTATAGTTTCCTCAACTGTCCCAGACATGTTGTACATAGATATGTCATGTTATTATATATATAAATATATATATAATTTTGTACGTTTTCTTCATCTCCGATCTTCTCGAATTTTTGTACTTTTTTCTTTTCTGTCTGAGCTGCTTTCTCTAAATCGGTCAGTTTGAGTCCTCAAGGCTGAGGTCACAGGGAGTCTGGTTTTTAGGAAAGAATAGAAGAAATAGGGGAATCAGAAAAACTATTGGTCTCTCCACCTGGTCACCTTCGAGGCTATGAAAACAAAGAAGCAAGCTGTGTTCTCTATCTGCCACCTGTTTCCACAGCATGAAGTAGATAGCTTCCATGATGAAGAAGGGTCATTTCAAAATCCAGATCCAAATTGCTTTGATTAAACCTGGATTATTAAGTCCACTCAAAACAACAAGTGTGTTGTCTGGCCCTGACCTCCATACAGTTACTAACTAGCTTATTGCTGTGGGCCCCCAGTCAGTTTCCGCTCCTGCAAGTGGCTCTGGCCATGCCTCTGACACCGAGCCTGCTCTGAGCCAGGCAGCTTACCACCTCTTTAAAACTCCAGTTATTTTGATCTTGTCTAAAGAATTTTTTTTCTTTGTTTTCATGGGGGTCTTCAGAAAGATCAGAGAACACTTTGTTTTGTGGATCAGATAAGACTGAAGTTCTCTTTTCTTTTTTAACAACTCCCTGTGGATAGGATTGAGGTATGCGCCAGGCAGCCCTAATGACTGTAGAGTGTGGAAGCGTGATGGGGTAGAGACTGGGATGGAACTTAGGATTTTATCCCTTATTACTTGACAGTGTTTTCTTTTTCTTCTTCTGTGTTCGTCCACAGTGGCCAAGTTGAATGATGCTGCCCGGGGCTCCGCCAGATCCTGAGACGCTGCCCCCCTGGGTCCTGTGCTGGCTCCTGCCCCTCCCTGCTTTTGCAGCCAGGGGTCAGGAGGTGGCTCGGGCGCGGGCTGGAGAGGCAGAAGCCCCTGCCCGTCGGTGTCCCAGCGCATGGAGCCCCTTGGGCTGAGCACCAAGACCTTGAACCGTTTTTGTTTCTCCTTTTTTTTCCCAAATAATTGTTGGGAGAAATCTCAGTGACATCCTGGGGGTGGGAGTCGGGGTGGGGATGGGGGCTTTGAGGGGGTGGAGTGGGAGATTTGGGGGAATATGAATTAGGGCTTGTAGTTGATAAAAACATTCCTGACTGTCCTCCTTCTGAACCATGTGGCTGGTATGGGGTGGATGTGAGGGGGAGGACATGGAGTAGACTAAAGGTGAGGGGTCAAATTCAGCTCTGTAGAAGAATGCCTTGTTTGCTTGGATGTGGCTGGGGACCTGGTGTCAGATAAAAGAAACTGTCCATCTAAATATGAAAGACGCAAATGGCTCCTTTGGCTCTGCAGAACAAGCTGAGGACTCAGTGTCAATTGTTGATTAAAAAGAAAAAGTGCTGTCCTTGACATAGATTGCTGTGGGAAGGACAGTGAGTGTGGGGAAAGGGGCCATGAGCATGGGGAGCCCCACAGAGCCCAGGGGGCTTTTTCAATATTCGAAATAAAAAAACAACCAAAAAAAGAAGACCCACCAAAAAAAAAAAAACCCAAACTCAGAAATACTCTGAAGCAGTTGGTGTGTTTTATTGGGGTTTGGGGAAAGGGAAGAAAACAAGTGAAGAACCACTCAGGGAAGAAGCTAGTGTGGGGCCCTGAGTTTCTAGGAACAAGGCCTCTTCATACGGGGTGCGTCTGGGTTCCCCGTTTCCATCGTTTAGGGAGAGGGAGCATGCAGAACAGGACTCCTCCCGACCCCGATCCATGCCTTTGTTTCTGTAACTAGTGCAGAAGATGCAGCAGCCTGAGGTTCTGACTCACAAAAAGAGGGATCTGAGGTCTTGGATCTGACTGGTTTATTGATACCTAAAGCTTAGTCCAGGCTAAGCAAAACAGGAAACTCAATTTTCCTTCACAAGTTCTCATGTCTTTGAAGGAGAAATGTGACCTCTGATAAGCTGAAAGGAACTCAAACCTTTCTGCTCATGGCCAGCAGGAGGCAGTCACTGCTTTCCTCATGATGTCCTACCCATCACTGGAATCCTGCCACTGAAAGAAGGTTAAAACTGCTAGTGAATGTAATACACAAAAGAAACTTTACCAAAGGGGAAACAGACTCACTTGTCTCCTCTAACACACACCAATCTGCCACATGTGAAGACTGAAACTGCTTTGCCCATTTGCCCAGGTTTGATTAGGAGAGTTTATCGTGGTGTTTTCCCAAATGTGATTGGCTTCTCAAATGAGTGTGCATCAAAAGAGGATAAGCGAGGTCCAGGAGATGCAGGTATTCGAGAGAGACCTCCATCTTGATGAGGGGGAGGAGCACTTCTCAGCAAGAGAAGGAACGTTATTCTCAGTTCTAACTTACTCTCTCTGCTTAATCAGAAACTTCCCATACAAGTTTTCAGCTACTCAGGATGTTACTGATTTGCTCTCTTCTGATTTAGCCAGGAGACTGTGATGACTCCTAACCGTCAGCCTTTCTGAACAGCATGCTAGGCGCTGAGTGGGCCAGGTGGTTTGGAGATGTTGTAAAGAAAGGCATTCCCTACCTTTGTGGGGCTTACTGTCTAACTGGAAGGAAATTTATGAAAAAGTTCATGTACTTCAAAAGGTATAAACTCCAATCTTAAAGCTAGGAGACAGACAGAGACATCTTTATTGTAACACAGTTAGTGAGCCTTCTCATCCTTACTCCCCTTAAACCAGTCCCATGATTTCTTTCTTGAGCATGTCGTCCCAGTTTATGTTTGCCAGGTGGACACATCTGGGGAATGAGGTCCGCGAGGCTCGGTGTGGGGTCATTTAGTTAGTGCGATTTTATTTTAATATACAGGTAAGGTAGTTGACATACAGAAATTAGTTACGTTTAAGGTTGCAATACTGGTTTACTGAAGAACTTGAGTTAGTATCTAGACTTCTACATGATTTTTCTATTATTCTTGGCTTCCTGGTCCTTAATTTTAAGCTGCAGCCTTAGGAATCCTGGGGGTGCCAAGAAATGTTCGTGTCTCTCACTGGTTCAGTTTAAAACTTGCCGTTCCTTTTCCTTCACTCCCATCCTGTAGAGCTGGCCAATCAGGGAAGACTGACGCTGCGGTACTTCAAACAGCTGTCCCTGCCCGTTGTTTTAGCGACGTGCTTTCTGAAATCTTTATTCCGAAGAGTGGAGTCAAGGGTTCTTCCCCACCTCCAGCATGGTCGAGTGATAATTGTGCTGACAAGCCTCTCAGCTGAGCCATCTGATAAGCAGGGTGGCAGGGATGAAGTCACCATTAGTAGTGTTCAGCAGCATTTATTTTAAGCTGATGTGGCCTGGGCATAGAAAACAAAGGCAGAAGAAAAATAGCTTGGAAAATTGCCTTTGAGGATATCTACAGCCAGCCGCCAGCACCCGCACGAGCAGCGCTCGCGTGCTTGGTGCCCTCTGCTGGGCCTTGAGGGGGGTTAATGAGAAAAGGGAAAACCTCTTCCCTTGGGAAGTGGAGACATGATAATGACGTACAAATAAAAGCAAATGAATGTAGTTCTAAGCAGAATTCCACAAGCTAAGGGAAAGAGGGGCAGCAGGTGAGTTGTTAGCTGAATTTTCTTAGAGATGAGTGACTTATTAATAAAAAGATGAGACTGCCCATGAGGAGGGTGTAGCTCAAGTGGCAGAGCACATGCTCAGCATGCAGGAGGCCCTGGATTCAGTCCCCAGTACCTCCATCTAAAAAATAAAATAAAAACCTAATTACCTCCAACCCCCCCAAAAGTAAACTAATTAAAATATTTAAAAATTAAAAATAAATACTTATTAAAAAAATAAAAGATGAGACCTCCCATGCTTGGGCAGCAATATTTTAATTCACAAATAATTACTGAACTCTAACTTTGTGGCTGGAAATATTAGCTGATGTTGGGCAGATAAACAGTATAAGAGATGGTCTCTGCCCTGGGAGGCCTGAAGTGTCATCGAGACAACACTAATACGAATGGTGCAGGACAGCACGTCATTAGTCAGGCAGTGGTAAAAATCCCGAGAAGGGAAAATTTAAACGGTTGGAATCATCAGGTAAATATTAGTGGAGGAAATGGAAATTGAGCTGGGCGTTGAAAGATGCGTACTATTAAATAGTGTAGTTCAATTATTAATGAGTAAGTGCCCACGATATGGCAGGCATTGTGCTAAAATATGAACGATACGGTGCTTCTTCCAAGGAGACTACACTCTGGAGGGGGAACTACACGTGAGTTGAACTTGCAGCAGTAGAAGCCTAGCTACATAGAGGAATAAAGACAAGTGTTTAATAATAATTGGCTGTGCATCAAAGCCCATTGCTAGAGGCTTAACTCACATCCTCTCACTTAGTCCTCACAAGTCAATGGAGGGGGCTGTCTTAGTATGGCCATTATACACGTGAGAAAACTAAAACAGTAGCTTTCCGAAGTCACACCACTCCTGAGAGTGGAGGCAGGATGCACCGCCTGCGGGGGGGTGGGGGTGGGGGAGTGGTCAGAAAAGGTTTCATGGAGTAAATTCTGAAGGATGAACAGGATTTCTCCAGAAAAGTAAGGTGAGAAAGTGCATTTTGGTAGAGAGACCAACATTAGAGATGGGTGAGGCCACGTGGAACCTGGGGTTAGCGCAGTAACCGTGTATCAGGTGAGTCGTGGGGAGTGGCTGGAGGCTAGGCCAGGAAGGAAGACAGGAGGACGTGGCCGGCAGGCAGGCGGAGGAGCCACTGAGGGGTCACAGAGAAGTCTGGTCAGTTCTATGTTTTAGATGGGTCACTGCCAGGTCCCGTGGAGAAGTGATTTAAAGGTGATAGAGTTAGTGATGGACTGGTTTTAGTGTCAAGTTGCCTGGTTTTAAATCCTGGTTTTGATTGATTTTGATAACTCAGGATAAGCTTCTTAAACTCTTCGCTTCAGTTTACTTACTTTGTAAAATAGGAATGATGTAGGACCTACCATAGAGGATTGTTGTGATGATTAACAAGATGAGGCATGTTAAGCCCTTACTTCAGGGACTACGACAGCGTGTAAGACGTGCCTCCTACCCTCAGGGCTTACAGACTATAGAGGGGCTATAGTAAAGATAGGAAGACTGACAGTGAGAATGCAAGGATTCAGTGCTATGATGGGGGGAAGCACAAAATGCTCTGGAAGCACAGAGTAAGGGCAGTCACCTCACTTGGGGAGGTGGGAGAAGGTCAGGAAAATGCTTTCACAGAAAGTAGCCTCTAAGCTGAAACATGATGGAGCAGCAGGATTTAGGTAAAGGGGTTAGATCAGGAAAGGGGGTCTTCCAGGTGGAAGGAACAGTATGTGAAAAGATGCAGAGGTTTTACATTCTGGAAAGTTAAAATAATTGAGAGTAGCTGTAGCATAGCAGCAAGGAATGAGGCCAGAGGTGGGTGGACAGAAGCAAGGGTTAGATCACAAAGGGCCTTTAGACTTGATCCTGGAGGCAGTCCTGGAGAAGCTGCTGTCTAAAGATTTTGAGCAAGGAAATGACATGATTAGATTGGCTCTTTAGAATAATCTTTCTGACTTCACTGTGAGGATGAGATTGGAGAGGGTAAATTGGTATGTCAGAGATGCTATTAATGGGATGGAAAAGTTGAGAAGGGGTGTGGCTGAATGATGAATTCAACATGAGGCATAATAAGTTTGAAGTAACAATGAAACATCTCAGTGGAGAATTCTGTACTCCACTCCACTTAGTAAGTTGTTACCATGGGTTAGTTGTGTTATGGGTAAGACAGACTTACGTTGCTACAGTGCTGTACATTAGATGTGATTTGGTGGCGAGGGTGTAGCTCAATAGTAGAGTCATGCTTAGCATGCATGAGGTCCTGCGTTCAATCTCCAGTACCTCCGTTAAAGTAAGTAAGTGAATAAGCCTAATTACACCCCCACCAAATAGGCTGAAGGGTGTCCTTTTGATTTGCCAATTAGTAACCTTTCTGAGACCAGTTTCAGTGGATTGGTAGAAGTAGAATCTTGCCTGTAGAATTGAATGGTGTGTGAAGGTTTTGTTGTATGTTGTTGTTTTAGGAAGGGAGTGATTTAGGCACATTTATTTATTCAGTGAAAGGAACAAGTAAAAATAGAAGTTCAATGGAGAATGTTTAGAACCAAAAGGCAGGGTTCTGAACAGAGTTCTGAAGAGAAAGGGGGTGAGGTGGAAACAAGAGCTCAGTTGGACTTGGTTAATTAAACAATAGTTCAGCAAACATTAATTGAGCACTTACTATGTGCCAGCCACTGTGGAAGGTGAGGTGCTGGGGTTAGTGTAGTCAGCAAATCAGCTGAGCAAGAACTGACCTCAAGAGGAGGATATATACCTCATACCGCTTGAGACTCAAGGTGAAAGTGTAACAATGGATAAACTCACAGCTGTTTGTGAATGGGAGCAGGTAATCAATGGGCGTCCCTGTCTGACAGCTGCCTTGTTTGTGGAATAGGATGCGAAGTTGCTAGTGGAGAGTAAGGGAGGTGGGAGTTAGGGGGCGTAAGAAGTGTGGCATAGTATAGAAGAGGATGGAAGGCAGGGAGATGAAAGCTGATGAAAAATACTA